GACCATGTTGGATAGTATTGGTCTTTTATTAAAGATGTTAGACCATGTTGGATAGTATTGGTCTTTAATCAAAGATGTTAGACCATGTTGGATAGTATTGGTCTTTAATCAAAGATGTTAGACCATGTTGGATAGTAATGGTCTTTAATCAAAGATGTTAGACCATGTTGGATAGTTATGGTCTTTAATCAAAGATGTTAGACCATGTTGGATAGTAATGGTCTTTAATCAAAGATGTTAGACCATGTTGGATAGTTATGGTCTTTAATCAAAGATGTTAGACCATGTTGGATAGTATTGGTCTTTTATCAAAGATTTGTGTAATCTCTGTTAAGGTTTATCTTGTACATTAAGCTGCTTTGTGGGTGTTAAAGTTTAACATGTACTTTAAGCTGTTTTGGGGTGTACATTAGGGGATTGTTCACTCCCTTGATGTTATGATCCTCTGTATCTATCATGTATATTACTAATTAAAATTCGCCTTCCATTCACACAGTGTATCAGTAAATTAGTGTTTACACCTTGAATACTATTTAAATAAAATTGGTCTATGGGCGTATTTTGCTTCTAAGTTAAAGATCATTTCATACTTATCAATTTGGTTCCATTTACTATTTCATGATTTTGGAAACTGTTGCGTTTATTTAAACCAGATTTAAAGTACGACAAAGAAATGCAACTTGAAGAAATTAAGGTTTAGGCTAAAGGTGAACAATTGCTAATTTTTTTCTTATCTTTTGCTTTACTTATATGTACGTTTGGTAATTATTTGATTAACTACAGAGTTACAGGTTTAGCTCTGGAGAACTAAGGTTTAGGTCAGAGGTCAGTAATTAAGTTGATCTTGTCTCTTTTCCCACTATAATAGTTGAACATAGACGAAAAAAAAAAAACTTCTGACAAATGGACGATTGAACTGTTTTAATAAATCTATTAACTTTTAGTTAATACGTCCATCGTAAGGGGGGTGAACGGTCAGGTCAGAGGCTACTAAGGCTCAGACATATCTAACCTTCGCTAGTCTAAAACTGCTGATCAAAAGTAGTACAACTAGACAGCGTCACCTATGTGAGAACATTTAACAGATTTAACTGTCACAGCTATAATGCCCCCACAGCCGAAAGCTGGAGCCGTATATTGTGCCTCGAACCTTGGGCTTTCCACTAGCCTGGAACGTTAAGAACTTGGCTACACCCATCCCGTCATTTTTACTATTATGTTTTAGAATACTTCATGTTCAGATTGTGTTTTGGTTCGATTATGTTTAGATGGCTCTTTACATTTTTCTTAATGTTGGCGTTTGTTTATTCCAACAATTTAGTCTTGTTGGCATAGTGACAGCTGCTTAGTATTATATTGTCAAGCAGTACCGTCTATTAGATAAAACTGGCAGAAGGTTATCCATTATATAGTTAGTCACTTACTTTGAAAGCATAACGTGTTATAATGTATTTGTGTTAAGGCTGTCCTTGTGTAGATCCTCAGAAATATTAGTAGCCATTTGAATAAAAAATAGACATTAGAGGCCAAAGAGTGACTTTTTGTTGATATTAGAGGCACAGAGAGACTTTTGTTGACATTAGAGGACACAGAGGGACTTTCTGTTGACATTAGAGGACACAGAGGGACTTTCTGTTGACATTAGAGGACAAAGAGGGACTTTTTATTGACATTAGAGGACACAGAGTGACTTTTTGTTGACATTAGAGCCCAAAGAGGTACATTAGTGTCGAGAGGGATAACTGGATGACATTAGGACCCAAAGAGGGATATTTGGGTGAAAGTTTAACATACTAATCATAAATGATCAATTGAACTTTCATTTAGTTTTCTATTCAGATAAATCAAATCTTGCGTTCACAAAAATAAATATTATGTCAAAAAAAAGGCGTAAATTCAATCATAACTTGATGATGTGTATCGGTCCTGGTTGTTTATATTGTTTTCTATCCAAAAAAAAGGCTTTATATCTTTCATAATATGGCGAGTTCCATTGATTCTGTTGTTGGACATGAAGGCCAACCTTGAAAATGTTGACAGGAAATCAAGTTATATAGTGTGCCCTTTTTGGTAGTATTCGTGTTTGCTAAAATAAACTGGAACGCTAACCAGAAGTAATCCAAAATAATTGAGTCACGACTCATTTTTCTGGCGCCTTTTAACCAACAAAGTGAGCACGTGAGGTGTCGTTTTGTTGTATTTAGCCAATCTGATAACTCGGACATCTGTGAACCTGCTACCACCGGGAAAGCATTTATATATAAGCACTGTGTGTCGGTTTCGAACTGGCAGTCTCGTGGGTGGTCCGTGCCTTCCAGCAGTAAAGATTATGGCTCTCAAATTGGCTTCCATGCTGTAAAATTTAAACTCTGTCTACCTAGCTACAGTAGTTAGGTGTCAAATTAAAGGTTGTTCCATAAAGACGTTGGCAACGTCTGACTAACACGTGCTGTTTTCAGTGGGTCTTGATGTATAGAGTATTATATAAATTATAACTGTAAGTGGGTGTTATATAACTGGTATATGTATAGTATTATATAGACTCTAACTACAGGTGGGTGTTATATAACTGGTAGATGTATAGTATTATATAGATTATAACTGTAGGTGGGTGTTATATAACTGGTATATGTATAGTATTATATAGATTATAACTGTAGGTGGGTGTTATATAACTGGTAGATGTATGGTATTATATAGATTATAACTGTAGGTGGGTGTTATATAACTGGTAGATGTATATTATTATATAGATTATAACTGTAGGTGGGTGTTATATAACTGGTAGATGTATAGTATTATATAGATTCTAACTACAGGTGGGTGTTATATAACTGGTAGATGTATAGTATTATATAGATTATAACTGTAGGTGGGTGTTATATAACTGGTAGATGTATAGTATTATATAGACTCTAACTACAGGTAGGTGTTATATAACTGGTATATGTATAGTATTATATAGACTCTAACTACAGGTGGGTGTTATATAACTGGTAGATGTATAGTATTATATATATTATAACTGTAGGTGGGTGTTATATAACTGGTAGATGTATATTATTATATAGACTATAACTGTAGGTGGGTGTTATATAACTGGTAGATGTATAGTATTATATAGACTCTAACTACAGGTGGGTGTTATATAACTGGTAGATGTATAGTATTATATAGATTATAACTACAGGTGGGTGTTATATAACTGGTAGATGTATAGTATTATATAGAATGCTATAAATATCATCTTGATTGACTTATATCTTTATGACTTTCCAACCCACCACCCAGATATTGAACTGTAAGGAAGCTATTATTGGATCAAAGCTATAAATATCATCTTGATTGACTTATATCTTCAAGACTTTCAATACCACCATCAACATATTTTTAATGACAGTTGATTATAGGCTTTGTGTGTTTAAATCACATTAAGCCTTCTTTATTCATTAAATGATTACCAAGTATAAAAAGGTAAACAATCATAGCTTCATGTCAACAAACCAATTTTATTTTGTTAGTTTTAGTAGTTTTAGCATTTAATAATATGTGGCTATGTGAAGATTTGAAACCCACTTGAAGCTTTAATCTATATAATACACCCACCTACAGTTGTAATCTATATAATACTATACATCTACCAGTTATATAACACCCACCTACAGTTGTAATCTATATAATACTATACATCTACCAGTTATATAACACCCACCTACAGTTATAATTATTACTGGATCTCTGGGTGATGGGTTG